ATCATGCGTCGCTATATATTATAGAAAATATAATATTATATATTATAGAAAAACTTACGATAAATGTGTAGCAATGCTTTTTTTTCCTTTTCCTCGATTCGACGCCATTAAAGGGACAAACACGGTTTCCGCGTAGCCATCGTTTCTCCATTTCCAACCACAAAACCAAACGATTTTATTGTCACTAACTCACAAACAGCACACAAAAACACTCGCTTCTTCAACATTTCTGCTCGTATAATCTTCTCGATATTTACAAAGTTTTTCGATCATTTCTTCCACTTCGAAACGAGGACGTACGTTGCTCGATGACAGATGCTTGCCCACAATGCTGTTTTGCGATTTCGCAGTAAAAATCGATAATTATCGATAGCTTGCGGTAGTTACAATATGGCGCGGATACGAAGTGCACGCGTGTGTCGAACGGTGAAAATATTTACTGCCGAAAGAAGGAAATAATCAGGTATGAATCATACTTTTTCGTTAAATTTCCTTCTATTAACATTTTTTCTCGATTTTTGCTATTGGCAATAAAGCTAATGCATTATATTGTGCCCAGTTTGAGGATATTTGTATCGCGGTTGAAAATCACTAGATTCGTATTAATATTTGAATAGGCGCGATTGAATTGAAATGTCATACGGTTTTCACGTGTTATTTCTCTGTCGTATTTTAGTATAAATGAGAAACTATTTTGTGGAGAATGAATTCGAATTTTGCAGTATTAGAATTAATGCTAACATATCAAAGTACATTTGTGATTTTATTGAAATATCACAGTGCAATATTATGTGTATTTTCTGTTGTCTCTTGCTACGAGAGAGAAAATATTTCGTTGAAAGTGACAGTCGATAGATTCAAATCTGTATTCAAATACTGAGAATTATTTCATCGTTGATTTTGATATTTCTTATAGGAAATGTTTTATCAAGATGAGTGTTAAAAAAATGTTACTAGATTTAAATTTTATATTGTCTAGTCACTAACGTATTATTAAAATGTTCCTATATGATATTCCATGTGTTATATGTTATATGATGTGTCGAAAAAATGTTACTAGATTTAAATTTTATATTGTCTAGTTACTAACGTATATTACTAAAATGTTCCTATATTGATATTCCATGTGTTATATGTTATATTTTATGCAATATTCATTTGTTATATATCATATTATATAAAAATGAAAATATTTTGTCACTAGATTCTAGTTATTATTAAAAATAACTAAAATGTCTAATTTATTTAAAATATTCCACGATTTTCACGTGTTCTTTTTTGTTATATCTTTTAAACAGAAAATATTTGAATTTATTAATATAATAATATATAATAATAACGCGTTTTAATCATTGATATTGAAAATTATTTAAACATAATTTCATTCATAATATGAATGAAATAATGCTTTTGTTCATTACAATCCTTTACTTATAAAAATTTGCTAGAGAAAGTCCACAGAAGCGAACAGAGAGAGTAGAAATTAATAGCTTTGTATACACATATGTCGCTTATATTTCGTAGTACGCTTTAATTTCAATTTCCCACTGCTTGAAGACAGATTTAATTAGCATTTACCGGCAAAACACGTGGTTTGTCATTATGGAACAATCAGATATTACGATTTTGCCTAGAATCGCTCTGTACTAGCATTTCACATTCACATTGAATTAATAACATTTATTCGCAAATTATATCGACTCCATTACGCTTTTTTATTTTGCGAAAGTTTTTATTTAACATATACACGCGTCGATACCAACGATTAATAAATATCGGTTAATATACCGTCAGAAAAAGAGATGAAAATAATTCGATTTGTAAAATTAACCAGCATGAATATTGGTATTTACAAATATTAACACGCGTAATTAAAAGAGAGAGAGAGAAAGAGAGAGAAAGAGAAAGAGATAAAAATATTGAAGCAACGCTTCAATATTGTCTTGTCACAGTTATTAACTATTAAATAATAATCGTCCAAGCTGGAAAATTTGATTTAAGCTAAAAAAAATGTTTTGCCAAGGGTTGCTTCGATTTTCCGTGAAAATTGAATACGCTCTCCAGTTCGGTATCAATTTATGTGACGCGTCTCGGGTGACACGAGCATATCTTCATCCATAAACCACGAAATATAAGCGAATCTTTCGATAAAGTATAACTTTTGAATAAGGGCCGTGAATTTAGCGAATCATTCTTTCTTTCTGATATTTTCTTTCCGCGATCAACGTCTTCCGTTTCGAATCAGGAGACGCTTTCTTTGACCAACCCTAACTTCCTCTTCCTATTTTGCACTGAAAGTTTTTTGTCAGAAAATTCTCTCTGATTTTCAAAGTAATCCTATTTCGTTTTCACTCCTGTTCATTCTTTTAAAATTCTTCTAATTTAAGAGGACGTCATTTTACTCTTGCAATTACAAGGAATTGCAATGCTTTACTATTAAAACAGTGTTTCATTTCTAACAGTATGGTATTTAACACAATCTGAGCACAAAGAAGTATCTCAATGACGTTTCTTTCCAATCACGAGACGTTTCCTAAATGACGTTGTCCTAAATTAAAGAAAAAAAAAAAAAAAAAAAAAAAACGAATTATCAGAGAATAGACCGAAGTAAATATTATATAATATTATATAATTATTGCAAAAGTATGTGGCATCTCGGCATCGACGAGCTTTTAGCATTTTTGTTGCAAATACGAATCAGGTTTAAATTTTAAAACAGTTCGTTCAATCAGTTATCCAACTATAAAAATTCGTTCCACGTTTCGTTATGGAACACTCTAAACGGATAAACGTTTTGAAAGATAGATTTTAAGCTTTAATTGAAAAACGGTGTTTTAATTTTCATCTATTCGTGATCAGATTTTATTTATAATACACGTCGTTCTTTTTTCCCGTCTGACGTGTTACGATAGCATCAAATAACTTTTCCATTCTCGGTAAATTTCCTCAAGTTA